CTACTTTATCAACTTTGGAACGATTAATAATCATGTAACTTATCTTATTTTCATTATGTAGCTATTTTTCATTATACTGTACATCTAGTTTATATTATTAATCAATATTTGTATTATTTATTAACATAGAAAGGCGTAGTTTAGTATTGGTCAAGAACTTTATATAAAAAGACATGTAATTTGACCTTGAGTCGACAGAGAGTTAGGTTTCCAAAAAAGATTTTGGATAAGTCTTGGGATTTACGGTTTTGATAAAGATACTATTTTTACACTTTCAATATTCTTCTTATCTTCATTGAATCGTAATAAGCTGTTTATTTGTCATAATTTTTCTTAGGAACTGCCTTTGAGTTATTTGCTTGTTGGTTTGGTTTTCAGGCATAACACCGTGTTTTTCTTCATTCTGGCGAAAATTATAATTAATTAATTTAGTTTCATAAATTATATATGCCAATATAAAATTTTAGTACAAAAAATAATCTGGCTTCGAAGTTGATAGTTAAATTATAATATCGAAAATCGATTGAAATTTCGCGGGTTAGGACTTCGCTCACGGGTAGTTTTATTATAAAAAAGAACCCTGCTCTTTGAAAATTAGACAATTAATCATGTGGTAGCTTTATTTTAGAATTAGTATGGATTAAAGAATGGATCTAGAATTAATAAAAAATTGTAATATCGTGAGTCATATGATCTGATAATACGTCACATAAACTTTGCTTTCAAAGATTTTCCGATCTTCTAATTACATTGGTTTAAGAAGCCTACCCTGTCTTTTCATTTATTTTAAATTAAATTTCCGCTTTTGATTATAAATTTTATCGATTTAGCGCGCGCTTAAAATTAGATATTATTATTATTTGAAACACCCATATTATTGTCTTGCCATTAAAAAGGAATTTCGAATCCTTTAAAGCTTTCTATATTTGTGCAAAAAAATTAAAATGATAATCATAACATGTGAAACTTGTTCTTTATCATAATGTGCAAATAATCGTATTTCCAAATTAGACCCCCTCAATAACATACAGTACATGCATAATTACGTCTTTGTTTAATAATCGTGGCCATATTTTGGGAAATATATATTTCGAAAAGGGATGGAAAGATATATTATGTGTAATGGAGAAGACAATGACAACAAGTCGAGAAGTCGATTTATAATTTGTTTTGCATTTTACTTGTGTTGTCGTGTTATAAATGCTATAAGGACTATAGATTTTAATTGTTATTTGATTAGCTTATGAACCTTTATTTCTCCCCAAATAAATGACGAGCGTATTTTGATAATTTGTTTTGGTTAAAATCTTCACATTTTCCTCCATTAATAATTTTATTGAAATTTGTAAAGTTGTCATTAGGTTTATTTTATTTTTCATTTGATTTTTGCGTCTATTGATAATTATGAAGTCGGTTTTATTCAAAGAAAATAATATTTAACAATAAAAATTACTTTGTTCCCTTAAAATCAAAGCGTCAATTGATTTCGAATTTGTTAAATCTCACTAAATTCAATTTTAACCAACGAAAAGTAAGACTAATAAAATTCAAAAAAAAAAAAGTGTCCGTAAAACAACCCAATATTACGAATGGTAATTTAGAGATATCTAAATTAAACAGATTTTCATGGAAAAAACTCCGTTTATGTTTCAAAATATTTCATTTCGTGAATTTTTAAAGTTGATACCAAATGTTTTAGATCCGGAATAATAAAACAATCCAAGTGCTAATTTTTATAAATATCTAACTCTGCGTGGCATAAGCTACAAAATTTAAAAAATTTTAGTAAATTTAAACGAGTAAAAAAGTTAGGGATGCAAAGGTCCGTGACCACTATCGGTCGGTCAAAGGCTTCGCGGTTCCGACCGAACATTTGACCGTTTGGTTCATCCGGAGATTGCCAATTAATTAATCTAAAAATATAACTAGGAAGGCCCGGAGGTGTAATTTAACAATTCGTTATCGCCTCGCTGCTGTCACAGCATTATTCGATATCCATAAAAAGAAAATATAATAAAGAAAATAAGGAAGATCATCTTACCTAACTAATATTTTCAGAAGCAATTCAAGAAGGACCTGGATAAAATGTTCGATCGCTGCGCCTGAAAAGATCGAGCCTGAAATACTTATTGAATCAACGCAACCCGAAGCCGGAATTGTAGAAACCTTTGCAAAAATAATTAAAGCAAAATTAAATGAAGAAAGAAAATATCGAATATATCGAGATTTATTTAATCATTGCGACCGAACTCGAAAAATGTGATAATAAAAAAAAAAAATCATTACCGAAGTGATCGCACCCGAAAGAGGTGAGGACAAAAAAATAACCAACCATATTAAAAGAAAAAAGTAAATCTATTTTTTTTTTTTTGAATTGCTTGCCATAAAACAAAAGAACCTACTTTTTTGAATTGATTCCAATTCCTAAAATAGAGTTTATTTTGGGATAAAGCTGAATTAGATATCAATGTAATATTTAATAAATTTTATAATGCGATGCTAATATTTATTTTTATTTATTATAATTACAGGACATATTGATATAGAATTTTTTTACATAATAAAAGTAATATAATCTTAAAAATAAAAATAAAAAATTGCTTTAACGCAGTTTACTTCATTAAAGTTTTTTTTTTTTTCATAAAACTTACCTTCGAATGATCCAGTGCTAGAAGAATCCGTTATTTGCAAAAAGGTAAGAAATTTTAATTTAGTGATCTTTTTTTTAAAAAAATAATTTAATATTAAATAAATTTTTTTCATCATAGACTTACCTCCGAACGATTCAAGTCTTGAAGAAGGCGGTATCTACAAAAAGGTAAGAAATTTAGTATTGTTGTATTCAGTTCTTTCGTTTATGTATTTATAAACAATTTGTATTGTAAGCAGAAGATATTGATTGAATAAAAATGAAGTATTAATAAATATTTATTAAATATTATCAAATTAATCAGTGTTGCCTCAACATCGGAGCTCTACACGTTTTGAACATTTTGTCACACTGGCCTGACGCCTGAACAAATGATCTTCAAAGAACTAACTGCAAATATCGAAAGCGATTTTCATACGGAATTATGGAGATTTCGGTCGGAATTACATTTAATTGTAATAGTATTGTAGATCTTTTTTGTGTTAAAATCATTAAACTTATTTGTCTAAAAAGAAAATATAACATAAATTCTTCTCGTGTTTAAAATGACTTATGTAAATGACCTTAAATGACATAAATGACATAAATGACCTTTAAATGACAATATCATTTAAATTCATTTGTCATTTGCGAAATTGACTCATTATAAATGACTAAAATGACATAGTCATTTGTAAGTAATTTGAAGGTCATTTCAAAATGGTCAAATGTCCTGGTCATTTGCATCACTGCTTTAAACAACCTTGTATATTGCTGAAATTTATTTCTAAATCTCTTAACACTCACTTCGCGAGTACAGAATATCAAGTATTTATTACATCAGTTATTGTTGTTATGGTTGCCGCTTCGACTGAATCAGCATGATTAAGTCTTGCAATAAGGTTCGGCAACTCCGTATATAACTGTCCAATGCCAATTCTTTCTTCAGATCATATCAACTGTTGCAACTTTTTCTTCATATGAATTCTGTTCTCTGCTATAACCAAAAAAAAATAAAAAAAATGAAAGGTTTGCAAAAATATTTATTTTTTTTGCATGAAATTAAATTTAAATGTAGACTACCTCTTTGCAAGGTGTCCTGCAGAGTTATCCTTCTAAGTCACATATCATAGCAAGATATTTATCGAATGACATTTCCTTACAAATTATAAAACTATTTTTAAAATTTTATTAAGGTATTATTAATTAAATGTTGTTTCAAAAGTTATTACAATATCCTGAAAGAAAAAGAAAGGGTGCAGAATTCCAATAAAAATGAAACCTTTTAAAAAATTTCAGGCATTATTTAAATTCCATTCTATTTTATCATCAAAAATTTAAGCGCTCTCCGCAATATCTTTTACTTCTTTAAAAATTAACACATTTTTTTGCGGAAAGCACCATTACTTATCTCTTTCCTTAGCTCTTTATTATCTATTTCTAATTTTTTATTGACAAAATAGTAATATTCCGCCCAAAAAACTAGGTTCGTCGGCAAATGAATCTTTTCGCTAATGTTTTGTAAAACTAAGATAGAAAAAAGCATTTTTGTTCATTTTAAAATAAAGCTGATTTTAGGCGGATTTCTCAGTCGGGCGCAACGTAAAATCGGGTAAGTATTTATTTTTGTTTTTCCTATTTTAAATTAAGTTGGTTGCTAGCGTAAAGTATTAAGCTATAAGATATAATCTATATTTGAAAATATCTAACCATAAACTGATTTTGGTTAGTATGATAGTCAAGTATTTTTTTTAAAAAATCAAACCTTTCCAAATAAAGTTAAGAATTCTTTACTATGTTGATTACAATTTATTACATTACTATTTGTATACTGTATATCAAGTTTATCGATAAATTTTCTTTCCGAACATTCCTATTTCCTAGATTTATTAAATTTTTCTTACACGTACCATATATTCTTAGAATATGGACTGAGGTCCGCAGGACCAATCCCATTAACCGGTCTAAGATCAGTCTTACCAGGAACGATTCAACCCTTATGCCTCTTCATATGGGAAGTTTTCTAGGACAATGGGACTCGGGGAATTTTTTTGACTAAAATTAAGACCTTATTGCACTTTAATCTAATAACATAGAAACTAAAATGCAATAAAAACAAAATTTTGTTAAAAAGTTCCCAGAGCCCCATTTTTTTTAAAAACCTACCATATGATGATCGTATTTCTTCAAAAATAGCGGTTCATAATACAAAATTTCTTGCTACACAAAAACAATTTCACAATTATTACAATCACAACAAATAAATTAATATTTTTTATCTGCAAAATAATTTCGATAATTATTCGATTTATTTTTCTATTATTTATTCAAATATGAATTCTATTTATAAATTTCGCTGATGAGAGGAACTATTCAAGAATGTTATTGACTTTGGTATAATTTAACTTTAACATAAAACGAGTAAAATAATACTATTTCGCAGAGTGGATGAAATAAAATTTTTATTATTCGAAATGTTATCGATTATTGTAATTTTATTTTAATTTTTTCATTAATTCAATCTATATATTTAACTTTATATTAGGTATAACATTTGATTTGATTGGCCAAATGCAAACCAAATCCAAAACTTTTGAGTCTAAAATTTTTAAAGCTCGAAATCAATAAATTGAGACGAAAAGGAATCGGGTCGGGTCGGGTTTAAGACATATGCGAACTCGAACCCGTTAATAATTACAGAACCCGAATTCGACTCGACCCGATCATTGTTCGACTCGGACTCTACTCGAGCCGATTATTGTTTAATTCGGATTCGTCTCGAATTTTCAAGGGCAATATTAATGCCGAAAATAAAAAGTCTATTTTATTTTTAAAATTTATTATTTTTTTTTTGTGAGCATTAATCCTAATTTTTTTTTTTTAAATCTTTTTCCCCAGAATTTCAAGCACATACTGACGTCTCTAATACCACATCATTTTGGTTGATATTAGATCGGTTCCGCCATAAAAAATTTTTTTTTACTGGAACACTTGTTTTATGTGTTAGAAATGATTTTTTTTACCTGTAATGGTTAACTCCACAATGCTTTTCATTTTCTAGAAGTGAGTTGTACTAGGTAACATCGATAGGTTTATTCATTATTTATTTATTTATTTATTAAAAATTAAAAATCGCGTAATGTAAAACAAAAAAAAAGTCTAGCACGTCAATATTTATCGATATTGTTTCAGTTGTTTTCATAAGTCACGGGACACTCGGCCGAGTACTTGCAATTAATACATTTGAATTTTTAAACGCATTACACAAAATTGCAAATTATTTAAGTCACCGGATCACTACAAAATTATAAAAATTAGGTATTTATTGGCCATCAATTATTTTTCTAGCAATCTGAGTTGCCGGGTTACCGGAAAGTACTCGGCAACAAATTTGCCGCATGTCCTGTGACTTATGATCGCCTGATCATCCGGGTCACTCGGGTCAAAGCAAAAAAACGTGACCCTGACCAGGCGGGTTAGGACTCGTGTCATAAAATGATAGTCCCGATTCGAGAATAAATTCGAGTCGGGTCCAACAACTCGATCGTTTCGGAACATTAGGAAGCAAAATTAAAAAGTATTATGGATTTTTTAGAAGTGTTTGCTTCGCGCTGTTTCTACACGCCTCCTTTTTTTAACATTACAATTAAATAATTAACCAATAACTTAAAATCAACCATACGTGTTCAATTTTCAAAATTTTTCTATTGTCTTTATTTGAGTGATACAATAAATTCATAAAACCGACCGCTCATAATTGAACAGGCCTGTTATTGACACTTCGTTCGGCTGAACCAAGCAAATTTCCGTCGAATCAAGAATATGATTTTCAAATCAGTCTTGAAGGGTAATATGTATATGAATGCAAAGGTTCCTTATTTAACATTAACTCAGGTTTAGAACAATTCTCCTTCAGCCACAGAAAAATATGATGATATAATAAGATCAATATAATATAATTATCAACCATAACTATTCGCTATGTTATTCAACTCTCCTTTCACAGATGATCTGCAGATGATCAATTATTGCATTTTTTCAGCTAAAATATTTTTAAGATTAAAACAAGTTGTCATAAAATTGTGTTTCGTTTAATATCTTAATGCTAATAATTTCTTTTTTTTTTTTTTTTTTAATTTTTAAAGAAATGTAATAATTCCATTAGAGGCAACTAACACAAATATTCATGTGTTTATAACAAATCTGTCGTACATTGCATGATGCATTACGGAGTAAAGTTTTATTTACCCTTTTTAGAATTGTGCAAA